AGCTGCAGTTGCTGGATATGCCGCATGCCGGCAGCGAATGCCGTAAGCCGAGCTCTATTCACCTCAAAGTCCCTCTCAAGCTCTGAAGCAGCAGTGGACCTTTGCCGTTGAAGCTTAGCAATTTGACGCTGGAGGTCAGAGATCTGGCAATCAAACTCGGTCAACTGCGTTTTCTTTGCTTTTATCACCTCCAACTCCGCTCGGCCAGCCTCTTGAGCAACCTTGGCCGCCTTCAAGTCGTCCTCGGCCCATAGAGCTTGTTCGAAAATACTGAAGTGCTGCCGAGTTTGCTCCAGAAGGTCAGTAAGATAAGCGATATTCTCCGTGCTCAGGTAACCGTCGCTGGCAAGGTTGTTTAAGCACTCCCTAACGGAGTCAAGACCCTTGCATTGGAGGACTTGGGAGGCAGAAAGGGACAGGAGCTCGTGTAGCTTGACAAAAGCCTGGGCTTCGGGCACGGCCTCTACTGCTTCGGCAGGGGCAGCAGAGGAGCCAGCCACACCAGTCGTGCTCTGAAGAAGAGCGTCGAGCTCTACTTCCCATGAAGTCTGCACATAAAGGAAAATTCGTAAAGGAAAATAAGATGTGAAATGCATGTAGTGCATGACAAAGGGATTGTTTTTAGACCTGCTGGGAGGAGACTTCGGCCATGCCCTTTGGGTCATTGCTCAAACCCAGGGAACATAATGGCCGAGCCCAGTGCCTAAGACCGCTTCATAATTCACGCGGCCGATGAAGGTTATCTACATTTGATGGCCACGACGATGGCTAGGAAATATAGACAACGCCTATCGGCGCATAAAATTGTCGGTGAAATGAACGTTCGGGCACCTAACATTTAATATTTCTTTAAGAACAAGTGCGTCATGATAAAATCAACAAAAAAGAAATAAGGCTTACAAAGGCCGAGGAAACTTCTTGTGGAGGAATTGGGAGGTCTTCATCCTGCGGATGGAACGGTATTTTGGCCGTCGCCTCAGGATCGGCCAGAGGCTTCTTCCTACGATCCGCCATAGGGGGATCCGGTTGGACGGCTGCCTCGACCACAGAAGGAAGATGGATGGGAGAAGAGTTGGCTGGTCGAGGGTGACGCTCCAGCGGGATCTCGTCACTCTCGTCGTCCTGAGGAAACTTTTGTTACGACTAGAAGGCTAAATAAACAAAGGATAGCGGTGGAATCATACCTATTCCAGAATGACCGTCGGTCGCTGGATGGGGGATGCCTTAACAGGTGCGGCCTTTTTCCCCAAGGCAGGCGCAATGGCCGGCTCCGAAGCTGTAGCTGGTACAACGGTCAGATCGGCCATAACCCCAGTCGTGGGAACGGCTGGAGGAAGGGGGTCCGCCGAAGCCGGGGCAGTCGGGATGGAAGGAGAGCCGGCAGGAGCAGTTGTCCCTGTGGTGTCGCTGGGAACAACATGAATCTCCCGGTTGCCTTTCTTCGCCAACTTCTTGACACGTTTTGAAGGGCAAAGAGCGTCATCCCCCGTTTCGGCGTCTTGGTGGGGGCGCTTGGCTGATAATGTCCGCCCGGTAGTAATGGTCTTCTTCGTGGGGACCAATTTTTTCTTGGCCACCGCCGCGGTGACCACCTCCGCCTTCCTCAACACACGACCGCCTGAGATAACGAACTAATCAGTAACAAGGGGTGAGTAGTTGAAGTACAAAGGACGAAAGGACAATGTACCTTGGGTCGATTCCTTGGGTTGGCCCGCAGGAGCTTGTCTGGGCTGGTCGCCGAAGATTCTGCTTACCACGTCTTCGACTGAGACGCCGAAGAAGTCACGGGTGTACTCGTCCCACCAATCCCTAAAGGTGTCGGTACCCAAAGATTTAGGAACGGTCGGTCGAAGCTGAAATTTTCTACACTTGTCCTGAAACTCCTGTTCCGTCGTCTTACACTCCCTCTCGGAGGAACCAGAGAGGCGTTCTCGACTTAAGAGGGAGCGAGAAGCGAGCAGGGGAACGGGGCAACCTTGGAGGTAGCCGAGCTGCCGGGCGACGAAATGGGGATGATAGACCTCCCAGCTAGCTCGGCGGGCATCGCAACCAAGGGGAAGGTCGCGGGCCAGTACGAATGATCCCTAATGTTGACGAAGATCAACATCTTCGGTCTCGGCCCACGCTGCCGTCGGAAGCCTGATCGAGGCGGGGTATTCCTGATGCTGGCACACCAGGAACTCATCGTCGGAGAAGACGTCGAGGCCGAAGAAGTGTTTGAAGACTTCATCGGCCCGGTGAGGAGGCGCCGGTCGAGAGGCTAGTTCAGGGCCGAGCGCTGCAGTATGCTGGAAAACGGGAACCTCGGGCCGAAGAGTGGAGAAGTAAACCTGCAGCCAGAGTTGGAATACCCAGAGGGGTCCGTTCTGGTGCGGGTCGATTTTGTTGATGGTCGTCTCGGCCAAACAGCGGAAAAGATTGGCAAGGATGGCCGGACTGAGCGCCAGGGAGTGACCACTAGCCAGGGCCTGAGCCACCGACATATTCTCGACCAAACATTTGTTCGACCTGGTACAACAAATGAATTTGTTGTACCAGTAGAATAGGAAGACTTCATGTTCTCACTTCCTAAGGCTCTCCTCGCCTCGGCCGGCAAAGTGGAGGATAAGAGTGTTATAGTTGAAGAAGTTCTTGTGTAGCTTCTGAACTTCTTCTTTCGAAGGCTCCCTATCGCCTCGGCTGAGTGTCTCGACGGCCCGTTCGTCGAACAATACTTTTAGGTCGAAAGGCGAGGGGCATTCGGAAATGGCGGCATCAATTGGGAGACCAGACGGGGAAGTCCCAAGGATAGCCGAGATGTCAAGGACGGTGAGACCGAGAGGGCCGAAAGGAATGATCATAGGGTTAGTAACCGAACACCATAAACTCAGGGCCGCCATGAGCAGTTCTCTATCCATGGTAATCTCCATGGTCGAGAGCATGATGGCATCATAAATGCCGAGAGATTTCCACTCTTTGCCGAAGAATGCGCTCATTCAGTCGACCCGGGCGGCCCAGGCTGCAGTAGTCGAGGGACAAGCTCCTTGGGGCCATGCGAAGCACCATTTCGACCAATCGAACCCCTGCAGCAAGGGTGTTAAGCATTGTTCCTTGAGAAGGTTGGTGATGCACGATGGCACTGCATCTTTAAATAATGGACCCAGAATTTGGTGAGTGGTGGCTAGATCATTTTCGAAGCGTAGCATTTTGATGGCGCTCTGGTCGATGAAGTCCTTGCATTTATTGCACTCGTCGAAAAGCTTGGAGATGAAGGAGGCCATTGGTAAGGAATAGAGTAGTGCGTAGGTTTAAAAAGGGGGTTTCAAAGAGATGAACTTGAGGGCGCGTAGTTTGAGCAAGCAGGAATGGCGAATGGAAGATTTCAAAAGTTCTGAAAGCGTGGGATCTGAATGGTAGAAATTTGGGTATTTATAGGCGTTTCAGAAAGAAGATCAAACGTTTGGTATTTGAAAGCACTGGGGAAATTTAACCGGGAAATGGCCCCAATCATTTCGGATAATTTGGGAACTTGCAAGGATAGGATCGGGGTTTTCAAGGATCCAGGACGCACGATTGCGTGCGGCGGCGGTTTTAATGCATTAATGAGGAATAGATGCTTCGGTGGGTGCACGTTTTCGAGGGCCATGATTGAAAGTTGTTAGGATTGGCAGAGAGTCGACACGTGGCTATACGTCGGGAGTAACGAGGATAGTGCAATCATATCCCATAAATGTGCATAGTAATGGTTATCAAGAACAGCGAAGTCTAAAAAGCAAAAGATGGTTCCGCTTCTTCAAGGTCGAAACCCGACCAAAGGTTGACATTCGGTGTCCTCAGAAGCGAAGGGGCAATGTTTGGGCCCGAAATAATATTGTTGGGCCGAGCATAAATAATATTGTTGGGCCGAGCATAGGGTTGTGCTCGGCCCAAAGCTGTGTCAAATATTATGGGCTGCTTGATAGATTCCGGGCCAGTTAGCAGGGTCGGTCGAGTCCTATCCTAAGAAGGAGTAGTCCAGATAAATAAAAAGGGTTGAGGAAGTCCTGGTGCAACTAGGATTCTCGGCCAGCGAGGAATAAAGCCTCGAAAGGGGGAAAGTTCAAAGTCCTAATGGGAGTAGGGTTGTTCGAACTAAAGTTGGAACGGGACAAGGACTCCCAATCCAGATAGGGGTTCGATTCGGTCTCAATGAGTGGGTGCTATAAATACAAGAAATCATGCAACAAAAAAAAGACCTTCAATTCAACATACAATAACCCTGCGCAAAACTTCTCAAATACCTTGAGATTTTTCCTTTTCTTTTTCCGCCAACATACCTTCAGTTTGGATAAACAACACTGTGGATGCAACCGATGAACACCTTCAGTTTGGATAAACAGCACTGTTGCCGTATAATCAGCCGATCGAGGAGCATCTTCAATTTGGATAAATAGCACTGCATCGAGGCCGACTGATTATCTATCCAAGTCTCGGCCGAGAAGGGTTTCGAATCCTTATTGGCCAGGGTCATCTTATCAGTCGTCTTGGCGAAGTAAAGTGTTACGAGTTACGACATTCGGCGTATCAGACGCCGAGTGATTTTATGATTGGATATTCATAAGTGAGTTTTAAAGTTCGACATTCTGACGGCCGAACCACGTTCACCATCAAGACATACATCACCTTTGAATATTTGTGTCTGTATAGTCTGGTGTCGATTCGACATGCTTATACTCTTACAAATATAATCATGGTGACCGAATCAGGCACCGACGACTTGTGAACTTCGCAGAACTAGCAGCCTCGTCTTCAGGCTCTAGAACCCAAAGACCGAGAGTGTTCCTTCCTCGGTCGCAGTCGCAAGATAAAGAAGTCAGCAACGCGCTCAACGCAACATCAACAAATTTTACTCCTCGGCCGAGCTCGGCCGACAAGTTGGCACGCCCCGCATTCAACCGAAGGACTTAGTTAGCTTATTAGTTATTCGGCCTGCGCGCCGCGTAGGCTTTGTAATTTTTAGGGTCAACAAGATGGTTTGTAACGTTTGTATTGAATCTAATCATCTATTTTTAAACAGTTCAATGACTATATAATCTCATATTTTATTAATTTTACAAAATGAATCTTTACTAAGTGATTTATAACATTAACAATTTTGAGAACAAGTATAAAATTCTGTAAATCGATGACAAAGTATTTTGATGATGAACTTCTCCTTGTCCTGTGAGGATCCAAGTTAATTCCAAAGACAAATGCCTAATTATATGGAAAAGGCAAATGTGCACGTACCGGTTCCTGTGGCTTGGGATGCTTCAGCTGGCTTCAACTTTTCTGCCAAAATATCCCAGGCAATTTTGGCTCTGCGGGTGCCCCTAATAAAAGAAAAAGTATCGGCCCCACAAGAAACCTGGATCGAGTGCAAAGCCTCGGCATTACTCTTCCTCCAAGCTTGAAATTCAACTTCACCATCTTCTCGTTTAGGAGGCTCAGTGGTGGCTTCCACAACTTCCCAAAGACCCTTTGCCAACAGGTAGGTTTCAACTCGCAAACTCCATTCTTCATAGTTAATTTGGTTTAGAAGTTCATGAACAATTGGACTTGGGACAACTGTGTCTGTCATCTTCAATCTGTAAATTTATCAAATCTTAATTTATATCACTCGAGCATATGTTAGAACAAACTAGTAAGAAAAAACTAATACTCACAGATTGAATTTTTGGGCAATCTTCAGATTAAGCTATGTGCACATAGTGCAGCCAAAGTTCATCTTTGGGTATGCTCGTTTATGATAACAAATCAGCCATTAAAAAAAGACTCGAGAGATCACTATTATTTGTATTACAGCACTGAAGACAAAAAACAAAGGGAAAACAAAGGGATTCAGCTTCACCGGGACACAAAAAAAAAGAAGAGAGTTCTGGAAAAAGAAAAAGGAGAAGAAACAAAGAAAAAGAATAAAGAAAAAAGAAAAAAGAAAAGAAAAAGAGAATTAATTATTATTATTATTATATTCCTGTTTCTTAGTTCGATACTACATCAAACGTTTCACTAAGTCAGTTTAGCTTAGTCTAATCTAAATTAGTCCAATTTAGACCATGAAACTAGTTCAGTCGGAGATAGTTCGGTGCAACAAATGCACCATAAACATTTAGTTATGCCTAAGTCGGCTTTGGTAACACCATTTCAAGTTTAATAGAAGGTTTTTCTAGTTAAAATGGTCTCTGAGATTAACATAACTTCTCACTTTGGCCCTTGTGATTTGAAATCAATAGAAGTGGTCCCTGAGTTTGTTCACCATTAATCATTGCAGTCATTCTGACTAATGGAGATCTTTAACTAACATGATTGATGATGGACAAACATGACGGAATGCGACGACGGCATTTCGCGGGAATTGAGCATTCTCTTCGAGTCCCATCTCATTTCTTTGTACCTTAAAAACATTCACATTACGCAATTTCACACTAATTTGACTCTAAAGTTTCCTAATTTAATTTCAAATTGGAAAATAAATGCAAAATTGTACAGGCCAGATGGTGAAGAGATTGAGGAACTGAGCGAAAGTGTAGGCGAGGAACGCATTGAGGAATGCGAGGTTCGATGGGATCAACGGCAAAGACGACGTCGTCGCATCCGCAGCCGTCATCACCTCGTCCACTCTCTCTCACGAGCAAGACTGTGGAAACTAGAAAAGAGGGAAAGAGGAGGAGCAAGAGTCAACTAGGCCCCACAGCCGAGTTCAATCAGCAGAAAGTGGCTGCTGGATTTTTTTTTCTCTCTTTTTATAACTTTTTATTATTATTATGAATGCGGTGGATTTGGTAAGAAGCAAGAAATATAGAATTTTGGAATTTTGATTCACTGTGGAAGAAGCAAAGTAATTTCTAGGGATAGAATAAGCACTTTACTTGGAACAATAAATTCTCTTCATCCCTCACAAGTAAAGTGCTTATTCTATCCCTTCTTTGGTACATTACACATAACTCAGAAGTTTTAAGTTCAATTTTGCATTCTGATTCTTTTTCAGAAGTTTTAAGTTTTATTAAATAAGGACCAAAATTGTCACCGAAAAAAAAATAAGGACCAAAATGACAAAATACCATCAATTTAATAAACAATGAGCTAAAATGATTATATTCTTATTTAGAATTTTGTTATTTTATTCTTATTTAATAGAATTTTGTTATTTTATTCTTATTTAATAAAGATTTTTTACTAAAATGATTGACGGTGAACAAACGTGACGGAATGTCTGTTGGAGTCGAGCATTCTCTTTGAGTCCTATCTCTTTTCTTTGTACCATAAAAACACTCACATCACTCAATTCACATCAATTTGACACTAAATTTCCTAATTTAATTTCAAATTGGAAAATTGAGATGCAGAAATGCGAAATTGTACGAACCAGCTGTGAAAAGCTTGAGGAATTGAGCGAGAGCACAAGCGAGGAACGCAGTGTAGATAGCAAGGTTCGATGGGATCGACGCCACTGTTGACGGTGAAGACGACATCGTCACATTTGTAGCCGTCATCACCTCGTCCATTCTCTCTCAAGAGTCAAGACTGTGGAAACTAGAAAAGAAAAAAAAAAAAAAGACGAGGAGTATGAGTAGATTGGGCCCCACAGTCTAGTTCAACCTTCCAATCAGAGATGAGTTGGAATGGATTGTCACAGTCCAATCAGGAGAAAAAGGCTGCTGGATTTTTGTTTTGTCATATTTTTCGATTTGTTCCCTAAACTTGTATAGAGCTATCAATTTCCCCACTAAACTTTAATTTTAGTTGATTACCCCCATAACTTATAATTAGCCAATTTCCTCATTGAACTTTAATTTTAGCTAGTTACCCCTAAACTTTTATAAATAACCAATTTCTCTCATGATGCTAGATTTCAAAAAGTTTCATCCAATTTTTTATTCATTTTGATCACGTGGACAACACATGACAACTATATAGGGGCAAAATTAATGGAAAATTGGATTAAAAAAATCTTATGTTTTTTTTTTTGTTGGGGGGGGGGGATTGGCTAAGTATAAAATTTTAGAGGGATAATCGACTAAAGTTAAAGTTAAGGGGGGAAATTGGCTAATTACAAAAGTTCAGGGAGGTAATCGGCTAAAATTAAAGTCAGGAGGGAAATTGGCATCTCTATAGAAGTTCAGAGGGCAAATCGACAAATACATCTTGGTTTTCTCTTACTTTTTTTTTTTCCTAATGATGGCAGTGGATTTGGTAAGAAGCAAGAAATATAGAATTTTGGAATTTTGATTCACTGTGGAAGAAGCAAAGTAATTTCCATGGAACAAGAAATTCTCTTCATCCTTCACAAGTAAAGTGTTTTTTCTATCCCTTCTTCAGTACATTACACATAACTCAGAAGTTTTAAGGTCAATCTTGCATTCTAGTTCTCTCTCCTCCCATTTCCCAATCCCTCATATCCTCACCTTTCATTCATAGCGTGTAAAACAAATCTTCACCTCTGAATTAGCTTGGAATTGTTTTGAATGACTGAATGGAAGAAAGGGATAGGAGAGGACAGAATCTGAATCCGTCAATTTGAGAGTAGGTGGGACATGACATAGCAGGGCTCGCTATTGGTGTTATGCCGCACAAAACACCTGGTCTGACAGGCCGTACGTGAGAATTCCACCTCGCAACATGTTGGATCAGTGTGTCCAGGTGGAACCAAAATACAAAAGGTCTCGTAGTTGCATGAAAGGTGCCCTGTAAATGGCGTGGTAGAGCAACCCGATCAAAGCTTTTCATGAACGACAAAAGGGGCATTCACAACAAGAGGTTCGACGGGATTGAACTGAATAAGAATACTTACCACTACACCCGCAGAATAGTCGTATTTTGTTCGAATCCGAAATCAAATCTAAAACCGAAAGGCCTTTTTTTTCTTCTTCCTTGATTGTTTTTCTCTACAAAATGAAGATCCGAATAACTCTCTATACAATTCCTTTGCAACCTCCGAAGCCAAAAATGTACAGCTAACTAAACAAAGAGTTACAACACACTCTCAAGGGATCATCTTCTGAGTATCGTCCTTGGGTATGGATGCTGATGAAGAACCGCTATATTTGCTGGGCATTTTTGTATTCCTTCGAGAACTGCGTTTTGTTAGGACAACTGCGGGTTCCTTCTCAAATTCCTGGGCAGGTGCCTTGTTCTCGCTGTCATCTTCACCCTTGAAAACTGGGTGGATGTACGCATTTTGAAGGAAGCCTTTCATGTTCAGATTAGGCTCTCTTGTGTGTTCTAATGTATCCTTCATCATTGCTTCCTGCAATCCACCATAAGTAAATGTTCATCACAGTCAAATCACTTCGACCAGCACAACGAAGAACGAGGTCAACCAATAGTGAATGCAACAAACCTGCAAGGGATGTCTGATGAAAGCAGGTTCGTAACGGCCTTTGCAGAATCTATGGAACCATATGGTCAACACTGGGAGTGTGATGAGCAGTGGAGTTGACTGAGCAGCTTCTTTTGTGCTTAACAATCCCATCAGCAGCAGTTGTGAGACAATTAGTGCCGTTATGATGCGCCCGTGGACATCAGGCCAGAATGCCGCAGCACTTTCATACTCTTGATTATAGACGTTTATAATCTAGAATCAACCAACGAAATTCATTACAATTTAGCAGAATTACTCAGTCAAGAAATTAATATCTCAACCAAAAAATAACTAAACCCTTCTCTTGGAAATGTCGCAACTTACCTGATGACGATAAACAACATATGCCAGGGCAAAGAATACTATTATGAACGGAAGTAGGATTGGTGACACCACAGCATAAACAAGGCCAAGTAAGAAATATAGTTGTATTTGAGGTTCACCGGTGTTGAAACCAAGGGTTCCGGGATCCATGGCCTCTTCCCTATCCTTTTCAGTCTTCACCAAGAAGAAATTCTTCAGGTGATATATAATCAAGGGTTTCAACCTTAGAATCTCCCCAGCAATTCCGGCCCACCCATCAACCATTATATAAGTGATAAAGAAGGTTGCCTTCATTGGAATTGAAACACCAATTGTCTTCGGGATCCTGCAAATAGCCAATTAATTATCAAAACTTTTTGCATCAAGCAGCACTGTTGATATCAGATACAAAGCAGACGAAGCTTAAATTCATTGCAGTCAATCAATTTATGCACACAAGAGATGATGTCAAAACTTGATTGACTTGCTTTCTTCCATGATCTCACATTAGTGTATTTGTATGAAATGAAAAAGTACATTCCATATAACTAACCATCAGGATACTGCAAACTAAATGGAGTTGAGGTGCAAATATAAGGACATACTCATTGGCAGATTGGTGAATGAATTCATCTAGTTGTTGAAATGCAGTTCCAGTGATTATGCTCCCAAGAAATACATTGACAAATTGGAAAATATAATATCTAGTAGCCGATCTCCTCTCTAGAGCTGATACGCTACTGAAACCTTCAAATTTGGACATTACCATCAATATAGAGGGAAGGAATATAAGAAAAATCTTCAAAGCAATTCCAGGCAGGAAACCTTGGATAAATGATTTTATGAATTTCCTGCATGAAAAAATGGGATGTTGTTATTGCAAAACGACGGTAAAAAAAAGTAAATAAGAGCTGACCATCCAGCCAGGGAACATTCAAACAAAGATATATTATATAGAAAGAAAATACTCACACTTCAATAATGGGCTTTAGGAAGGGGGCTGCTTTCTCAATACCCTCAATGTTTGCAAGGGACTGTACAAATGCAATGGGGATCATAAAAAAGAAGGTGAGGAAGAAGAAAGCAACGGCAGCTACAAGCCTCCTAATTGTCAATGTAACATAGGGGATAGCCAAGTTATCCCAATAAACATCACGGGGTTCTGGAGCCCACTCAGTCAACCATATAGTTGGGTTTCTGGATTGTTGAGTTTGTGCACAAACAGCGGCACCCCATCGAGTTCTGAAGGAAACAAAAGCTGCTGGCATGATAGATTTAGGGCTACTTGTAATCTTATCTCTCTCCAAGGATATCTGTCAACAATAAATTTGATTTGAAAAAGAAAGAACATAAGTGTTCCTATAATGATTCATCTATAAAAGACAAAGAAGTAGTCAATCAGAACTTGAGCTAACTCCAAAGCTTTCCTTGTCCAGTGTCAAATAGAAGCAACAGTGAGCAAGACTGGTGGAACAAATTTTACAGTAGTTAAGGGATACTTACTTCTTTTGATAGCCTCTCAGTCTCAGATGTATAAAAATCAATTGCATCCACCCGTTTACCCCAAAGACCAAGAAATCCAGTCTGCTCACAAGACGTTGTTAATGGAAATGAGAAATAACATGATGAAAAGAAAAGGGAAGGAAACAAAATGAAAAAAACGAAGAAAGAAATCAGAAGAATAATACAAATACCTTCTTCGACGGTCTTTTAGATGAATTTCTAGAAAATTTAAGTTGATAGTAGTCAAGCCAATTCTGAATTTTCTTCTTCTCATTGACTAATTCAGAAAGTTTACTTGCATTGTAAACAACCTGCATGCAAATAGTTCAGTAAGAAATTAAACATAGAACCCAAATACATGGAAGAAGAGCACAGGTGTAAATCCCCTTTCACAGTAATCATTACAACAGTTAACATACTGACATGTTTGCATGTTTATTACCATTGAAGAACGCTACTTTATTTAGACCCCTCTATAGTTGTGGAAAGCAGAGCAGGGACTGTTGAAATTGAATTTTTTTTTTATAACTTGAACACCCGTTTCTGTGTGAATCAGTATTAAGGATGTAACGAAAAGCAAGAGGACCAAACCTGATGAGTGAGATAGTGGTCTGGATGGTTGACCAGAAAAAAATGTTCCACGAGCTGACTAACTGTTTCATCAGGATCTGGTGGCACATTTCTAACCAGTACCTACACCAAATTTACGTATTTCACAACAGTTAGATCCACAACAGTGAAAAGAAATGTTTAAAGAACACCAATTTTATAGTTTTCCCACTCAATAATGTAACTGGATAGTGCATAGGAGTAGGAATACATCATGTAGAAAGATAAACGAGAAAACAAGACTCGGTACTATATAAACATATTGAACATTTACAATTTAATGATGTAAATTTAGCTGCTTGACCCCAGCCCTTGCTAGTGGCTGTTAATGTTATGTCCCGACTAGTGTGCTTCAATGTCAATTTATTTATCACGTAAGCTTAAGAATAATCAAGTTGATCTTACTGTGAACTGATCAGGGCGCCGCCGTTCTGATGCAAGAAAATGCAACCTCATTGTTGCAACCTTCTCGTACTCTGTTTTCAATATGTAGCATGTCCAAATTGTAAAAGCATAGGCCATTACTAAATGAGTCCAAAATCTGCATCAGATGTTAAATAATCATGGGAAGGTAAATTTCCTTGAAATGCAAACAAGTTTCAATGCACAGTAGCATATAAATGAGTCCCATCAAAAGTAAATGATCACCAGAAGGGTATAAACTAGGCAATTCTCAATTTAGATTAAATCTTGCATATTAACCTAGAATGCCAATTACCCTCAGTTGAGAAAATTAAGAAAATTAATTCCTCAAAGGTCAGATTTTTAAATAATAAGGAACTGCGTTTGCAAGAAATTAAAAGTCGGACTTGAGGAAAAAAAAATAGCAAAACTTAAAGGAAGTGATGCAATAGTAGAGGTTAGTGAAGAAAGTATTGCATACCTATGAGATCCAAGAGGAACATTTGAGATGGAGAGCTCATCTATGTTGCTGTATACCACAGTTGAATTCTTTAGGGTGCTATTAGTCCAATTGACTGGAACCATGACTGCATAGGCTAGGAATGCGATGGGAACAAAAATTTTTAGCCTGCACTTTAAGGGGCCAAAATCTCGTAATCAGTCGAAGAAGGCAAACATTACAAATCCCATCTAGAAAGAAGAGAAGTATTCAGTTGACATATTACATTCCGCCATTGTAGAAAACCATTTTATGCAAGGAGAAGAGTTGCAGAGAGGATATGGGTTGACAATATACATGAAACACTTGCAATATGCCAATAAAATTATCTTTACTTATGCCAAAATATAAGGGGACACGGTCTTAGCAAATGTGAAAACTCTCAGTTTAAAAGTTCTGTGTCTGTTATGTACCACAACATACATTGTACTCATGTCCTAATTATAGGAAGTTGTACACACATCACATATATAGATGCTAATTAGTTACATAATCAAAGAAACGTTAACATTTACATCGCCAAAAGCAACGACTAAAACGAAAAATATGATTTACCAAAGCATACCCTGTCAAGTAGATCCTCAAGTAAACCGCAGAGTCCAACCCTGCATGGTCAACTAGCTCAGGTTCTGGCATTTGTAATGCAGCAGGCATCCAATTCAAGAATTTCGCATACGATCTGAAGTCCAGATTCACAAACTTGCTTACTCCGCCAAACGGACTACACCTTAACCCTTTAAGATACCATTTTGGAAAGTAGACCCTATCATTGACAGGTTGAATTCGAAGTATGGCAAACGCCAAAAAGAAAGCAAATGCAGTGAGAATATTGATAGCTGCTGCAACTGCGATATCATTCAGTGTCGCCATCTCTTGCTTCAAAGTAATATATGTGAATGATTCTCCTGTAAAGTTGGAGAAAACAAAAGGTAAGCTTTATATACTCTCAATAAATAATTTACACCAGGATATAGAAAAAGATGGGGAGGGTGGTTTGCAAACAGCACCTTTTAGTATTACTGAGAATAAAGAAAGGAGTGATTTAATGATGATTTTTTACCAAGGAATTATGGAGTTAGTAAATTCCTATTGCATGGTAAGAGGAAGAGAGGAAGAGAAGAGCCTTGGAGTTAGTGGTTCACTGGAAAACAACGTCCCTTTATGGGAATACCAATTGGCTCAAACTTCAGGCCTCTACTTATATAAAACCCTTGTGGTTTTAAGTTATAGAAAAAGGCAAAAAATTGTAATTTCACAAATAACTTTGATAGTTCCCAATCCCATCAGTATTAACCCATAACTATGATGCTACTAAAACTACGGTCTAGTAGTATTCCTTAGAGTAAATGGAAGGTTATGTTTGCTTTTCATGACATGCGAGCTCGATACCAAATAAAAATGGAAAAAAAGATAACATGATGGTTATTACAAATAAACAAAATATAAATATAAATATAAATGTATCCAAAAGGAAAAGGAATACATGAGGTTCCCTTTAAATAGGCCTAAATATCTGAACTTTACCCAATAATAGAAGCAAAGTAAAGTGTTATATCGTTTAGTGCATCAAAGTAAGCTTTTCGCTTCATCCCAAAATATAAAACAGAATTAAGCTTCTAAACAAAAGCAAATCTTAAGAGGAGGAGATTTTAACTTGTAGATTTAACCCTAAACAATTTCAGTAATTCAGAAGCCAACAGTAAGAATTTTTTTTAACAGTATTACAGCAGTAAAACGAATCCCTCAAATCTAGCAGCAATGAACGGGTAATTTGGTTGAATAATCTGTCAACTCCTTTGAATTGAAAGGTAGATTAGAAGTTAGAACTTAGAAGTCAAAATTTCGGGGAAGGAGAAACACATTTGTCAACAAAAACCGAAATTTTCTCTCACATTTTCTCAGCATCCAAACAAGCAGTAAAGCCTTTTTAGTGTTTGCCAGAACAACCAAGCAAACTATTGATCAAACTTCTCATCGATCCAGAACTAAAACATCCATTGGAAAATGGACTGAAGAGTACATTTTCTCGGCAACCAAACAACCAAAAAAGTTAAAGATTTTACACTTAAAAAAAAACAAATCAAGTAAAGATTGAGTATTTCATAATTTTGTCGGCAACCAAACAAGCATTAAAGTTCAAAATCCGAAAGCAGTAGAAGTAGTCTTCACCTGTATTTCGCAGTACGAACTGAATTCACTCCTGCTCTCCTACCTGAGCTACCTCCCTCCCTCAGGTCCTTGAAACGCAGCGTTTTCAGTTGAACCGGAAAGCATGGAAAAGGGGAAGACAGCGTTTTCAGGTCCTTAAAATGCGCCTGCTCCGGTAAGAAAGCGTCGCAATCTTTTGTTTAAAAACTTAAAAAGGCGTGAGTCGAATGATATGACATTAATATTACTAACAGTCGCTTCCGTTACGTTTTTCTCTTTTTAAATTTTTAATTTTCATTTAATGGAAAATCAATATATATTTGCAAAGTCATTTTCACACATGTGTTTTCTATATTTTCAGTCTCGCATTTTTTTCGTTTTTCTCTAAGCATTTAGATTGAATAAATTAATATAAAATTATGAAATCAATTAAGAAATAAGTACAAAAAAAAGGAACGGGAAATCTGAAAATATTTGTAAACTATGAAAGAAAAATTAGATTATAAAAGATGAAAATTACATTCTCTGTGGAGAGTGTGACTATATTGGGATAAAATTTCATGCGCGAAAATGAATGTAACCTTTATGTGACTCTAATTATTGTTTGACACATATTAAATTTATGATAACAAAATTAAAAAAATTAAATTTATAAGTACATATTAATCAATAATAAAAATCGTAAAAAAACCACACTCAATTTAAATACCGAAAATTTGGTCTCGATTGTATTTCCGGATTCAGCAAATTAGATGCAAAATAGTAAGTGGGTCCAATAGGATTTGGTTGTCTGCATGTGGGAAGGTGAGTTCAGTGTCACTTTATGCCTGCCGCTGAATAAGTTATAAAAAGGTAGACATTCAGACTCAAACGGCTACTATTTTCTATGTTTTGACCGTTGGATGTTGACACGTGGCCCATGGCGTATGAGCCGAGTTCTAAAAGCACAGGACAAAGATTAGCATCTGTCGTCCGAATCTGAATGAATAGAAGGGGTAAAAGAAGGAAGAAAATAGTGGGATTTGGTAGGGGCCCTTTTCCGTTTTTCGTCGGCAGGTCGGCATTCCATTCATGATCCGCACCGGCACCAGCGAGTGGGGCGGACATCTTTCTTACATAAATATGTCAGACTTTCCCACTTGTTTGTCACCGAGAGCAAGTTCATTCCGCTAGGGCAACAATTGCTCCGTCAATTAAGTAAAGATAATTATTGCCTTGATGTATAGTAATTGCCTCATTTTTTGGGCAACACACCTCCTCTTTTTTTCCCTGTCCTCTCCGCTCCTCCATCGCTTCCTCTCTCATCTACCAAACATTTCTTCCATCACCACCGCCCCCATCTCCCGCCACTCGCTTTCCTTAGTGATTCTCCGACAACCCATCTCCAGCACCGACATTGCTAGTCGGAGATGACGAGCAAATTAAATGCAAAATCTGAGTGCGAATTAGAAAGTAAAAAGGGAGTATTTTATCAAAGTTGTGGTCCAATAGGATATCTGTAAGAAGGAAGGTTAAGAAGAGGTGGGCACCTCCCGTCACTCTCAGACTCAAACAGCTATTTTCTGTGCTTTGACCGTTGGATGTTGACACGCGACCCATGTAATATGATCCGACACGTGATCAATCTATCATCTGAATGAAAAGAAAAGGTCAAAGGAGGAAGAAATTTGTGGGATTTGGTAAGGGGCTATTTTTGGTTTTTCAATGAAAAAAAAGGGAAAAGGAGGCAGAAAATTGTGGGATTTGGTGGGGGGTCATTTTCGATTTTTCCTCGGTGCAGCTTGGCATTTATGATCCGCAGCAGCGGGCAGACATTTGCATCCTCACTCACTTTAGTAATACAATTTAATGATATTTATTTTTACTTGTAATATATAATTGAAAAGTCTTCGATTCAATTTTTGTCAAAAGAAAATTTGAATTGCATTATTACTAGTTCATTGTGAGGCTAAATTCACTGTCTCCTTAGCATAAATAGTATCATTTGTTCAAAATAAATATATCAAATATTCCGACTTGTTTTTCACAAGATCCATTGTCACATGCACAAAGGATACAAAATGACCCCCCCAAAAGGGAAGGAATTTTATTTAGATCTCTTTCAATTTTAACCGTTGAATCAATTTTCAAAAGTCCGAATGTGCCTGTGGCAGGTCGACTTTAGCCAAAAAGTTCGGGATTTGTGGCTGGTGAAAGAGATCCAGACCGAAAAAGGAGAGACAATCTGATCAATTATTTAAATAATATAATCATATCTTTGGCTCCCCCCCCCCCTCTCTTTCTCTCTTTTATTCTTCCTCTCTCTCTCTCTGAGTTCAATTTGAACAATACACAGAACATCGTACTTACAAGTACACAATACAAACACACAAGCAAAGCTTCGGCAATGCTGCTGGGAAAGTTGGAATACTCACGTGTGGCGTTTTTAGTTCTTTTGATGCACGGCAACCCGATGGATGTCCATCTCCTTCAACATGACAGAACGCCCGCACGAGTCGCACGGGGCGGTTCTCGACCCGCACGCACTCTCGTGCTCAGACAGTCCTCTCATTCTGTCCCGAACATCTATAGCGGAGCTTCCAGCTTGAACCATGTCCCCACAGAATCGGCACGCAATAAGGCGAAGGGGGCACACTGAGGCTTGGTGTTGCACCTGCACACAAGGACAGAAAGTTTCAGCCGTTAGGCCCGTTACAAGAAATTCATAGAAAAAAGGTTTAAATTAAATGGAAAAATTTTACCAATGAAATGAAATGAAAATGTAATGATACAATACGGAAAAGGGTAGAAAATATTGCTTACCATCTCTTCCTTCTCGAGCACCATTCCGCAGGGGCAGTGAAGTGGTTCATGGAACACTTTCATGTGCTTTTCCATTTCCCCCCGATGAAAAGCTTGCTCACATTTCGGACAATGAACGTGATTCTTGGCCTCCTCAACCCTGAGAACAACTCCGCAACCAGCATGCTGACAAACAACATTATGTCTGCTACAATAGGCTTCATGAAGTCCTATAGTCCGACTGGGTATATACCGTTTACAATTCTTACACTCCACAGTATCCATGTCCATTGGTGATGAGTACGAGGCGGCCTGCTGACCTACTGTCCGATTACTGTCACCTTGAACATTCACAGATACTTGGTACTTAGTTGTTCCCTTAAATCCGTACACACCAACACTGTAAGTTCCTGCTTCCAAGCTCTTGTCCTTTGAGCTAAGGATCAATACCTTCGAACCAATGTCATGGGAAGACCATTCATGCTGGTGCCTTGTTGGGAATATGAGAGGATGCTTGGAGATGTAAATATCAGTATCCCCAGAATTTGGCTCCGCTTCTATCCTCACCTCAACTTTGGCATCTCCCGAAGCAATTTTCTCCCAAGTATCATTATCTATGGAGAACTTGTAATACGAGTAGTGCCCTTCATCAACCGTTCCAGATTCTGATGTTCCAAATGTAAGTGGTTTAAGGACATTCTCATGAGTCTTTTCTGAATCAGTATCAGCACCAACTATGTCAACTTCAATATCTGTTTCTAGAACAGATACACTTGAAGAGGGTTTTAACTCAAGGACCTGTAACTTATAGACCAGCTCCCCATAGTTGACTGTAAATATATCATCTTCAGAAAGGGTGGCATGCTGACGAAGGCTTGTTTCGAGGATGGCCTTGTGATTGGGCAAGTCTGAAAAACCTACCCTAAGAGGTTGAAGTTTTGCATAAGTCCCTTTAGGAAGCCATACATAGCGAACTTCTATCAAAGGAATATTTGGTGTATCTACCGGAAATAAGTTCTGCCATACATGAGGAGGTAGCCCAACAAAACCTTCGTCTGCGGTGAACTCCAAAACACCCGAATGGGTGCTCCTGCCCTTCCCCTTATCAGCATCAATCATTTCTGAAGAACCCTCTTGATGAACTGTTGACAATTTAAAGTACAAGGGTCCCTGATCAAACGCGTTTTGATCTTGCAATTCGTTGAAGCAGGAAGCTGGCAACTTGATCTTATCTCCACTACCCTGGCAACGTACAGCTTCTAATACACGGTAAAACATGATTCCCCGTCCGACAAGTAAACTTTCTTGCATTTGTTGATCAACCTGAAGAAATATAGTTAGAGTTATCAAAAAAGCAATTAATCTACTGCAAAAAATTTGAATCTCCCATTGAAATGATTCACTGTTACATCACTACCCTAATAACAAAGATAAAAGCTGGGTTTTTTAGGTAATGTAGATATTCGGACACTATGTATTTGGTACGTTTAAGACCGTAAATCAACAGCCAATAAGGTTTACACGGGTTGTAATCATAGGCCTGTGTTCTGAAAAAATATGGACGACATCTGGGACTAGCTATTCAATTGCAACGAAATTGAATGCCAAGGCATTGTGTGTTCAAAAATTTCCAGGGATTAACGGAAAAATCGAGAATTTGCAATCAGTAAAGTCATAAACTTTCAAAGAAATATTTAATTTTATACGAATCAAGTCATAAACATTCAAATAACTAGGCGATTTTCTACGAACAAAGTCAGGAACTTTCGAAGAACTACGCAATTTTCTACCATTAAAGTCACAAAATTTCAAAGCCCTACGCAATTTCGAACACTATTCCCAAATAATTGGAGCAATCAATGTACAAAACAAGCTGAAATTCAAGAAAAAAGGGGCCAATTTCAACAATCAAAAGCAATCGGGTAACTGATGGGATTTGATAAACAGACCTTGAGTTGGGCTTGGGCGGCATCGAAGAGGCGTCTGGATCGCTCGGCGTCAATGGCTTCTCGCTGCTTCTTAGCTTCTTCTTTCGCCTTCCTCTCCCTTTCCAATTTCTGCCTCGCCCTCTGCTTCCTCTCCTTCTGCTCCTTGTCCAGCTTCTCTCTCGCTCTTCTCAGCTCGAAGTCCATCTCTCTCTCTCTCCTGTTTCTCTCTCTACCTCTCTCTGCTCGTTGGTCGTATTTGGAAGCTTTTTGTACTTTTGAGAAATCAGAGTCGGCGTTCGTGTTGGTGAAGAAACCACCAAATAGGAAGAGAAATTGGTTTTCTTTCTGGTCGTTGGAATTCCATTACACTATGTTTGGACGAGGGAAATAAACATGGAATTTTGGTAAAAGTCAGAATTTATAAATTAACAGACACCAATTCTCTTGTTTGGATTCATAAGCATAGAAATTTAGAATTTCCGCATAGAAAAAAAACTTAGAATTTGGGACCTCCAAATCCCAAGTTCAAATTCCCATGTAAATAGGCGTCATTTCTCAATTTCTATGATTGAGAGTTTAAAAATAACAAATTATGTATTCAATTCCTTTGTTCTTTTAGGTTAACCAAACAAGAAAATTTACAAATTCTAGAAAATAAAATCTCGTCATTTCAATTTCCGTCATTTTTAAATTCCTTAGTAATCTTAAATTTCTTCACCCAAACATAGTGTTAATGTTGGTTCCGGCCTTCCAAGAACTTTCTCTCACATTACTTTTGGATTCCAGAAGGATCTGGGCCCTTCGTTTAGAAATGCGACCATGTTGGACTGCTTCATGGGCCTACAAGCCCACATGGAATTATATAAAAAGGTACTAGCGTATGTTTACATATTTTATGTATGAACATTTGTTTTTTTGTTTTTAAAATCGGAAGGAGAGAGGGGAGAGAGAGGAACCGTGAGCGAAGAGTGAGAGTGGAAGGTTTTTGTCTTTTTATTCTTTTTAATAGTGATATACTTTAACATCAGTGAAACTTCAATAAGAAACAAGAAAATTTATGTATATGAAATTATATTATTGCCCATAATTTTTATTTTTTTTGAGTTTTAACGAAGCACTCGATGCTGTTCACTTTTAATGAAAAACCATATTTTTACCTTTATTCACTACACCTTTATTTGTCATTTTTCATTAAAACTAAAGTTTTTTTTTTGGACTTTTCGTTAGTTTTCCTTTTTTTTTTTTTTTTTTTTTTTGTATGATAGAAGATTAATAGTCTTCTAACTCTCTTTTGATTGACAAGTAGAGTTCTATTAATAGGTAGTTTACATGGTAAAATAAAAATATTTCTTTTTTGACAAATGAAAATTGGGGGGGAATGGGCTCCACATTTTATTTACTTGGAAGTGGAATGAGTTAAAAATAGATTTTTTGTTTTTTTTAGCAAAATAGAAATTGTAATTATTTTGTTTATTAACATGTGAGCAAAATTAGTAAAATACGAAGTAAGTATAGTACGTGAAAAATATGTACGTGTATTATTTGGCAATTTTGTTAGAGAAATATTTTGAAAAATATTTACTTATCTTTGTTTTTAAGAATATTTTAGCAAACGTATAGAATACGTAAATGTTTAAGTGTGTTATTGAAAATGTGTCTAAATAAAGTGTATCAAATGTAAAAAATATGCAAGTACGTGTATAACGTCGAAATTTTAAAACACGTGCAATTTAATAAAACAATAAGACGTGTATGAAAAACATAAGTATTTTTCAAAAATACTTATGTACGTGTAAAAAACACGTCTTATACGCGAATTTACTAACCATGCAAGTGAGTATTGAAATTATTTCGATTTTAAATTTTATATGTTTATTTCGATTTTTAAAGTACTGTTATCGACATTCCAAAATAGTTAAGTTGTACTCCTTTCATGAAGAAATTTGTAAAAAAAAAATAATAATAAACATAAACACATTAAAGAACTGCATAAAGATTTTTTTTAGGGGCAGCAGAGCCGGTCCCTAAATTTAATCAATTTATGATTCACCAAGGACAAGTTTTGATGTGGTAAGTATAATCCATCAGATTGTGTTGAGTTTTAAAGTACAATAGGTATTTATCTTTTAATTCACATAAATGACAAAGACACATATATGATGAGTTTAATCCTAAATTGCGTAATTTGAAAAAAAAAAAAAAAAAAGGTTTTTATAACCAATTGGACACTAGGAAAAAACTAAAACAAAAATAAATAAAAAAGAGTTGGGAAGGTCTGTCAGACAACCGTGTGACCACCCCAGCCGGCTGAAGAGATGGCTGAGAACGATCATCTACTGCCTTAATGATCCCGAGGGTCACAAGGCCGTTAATCACGCTCTGATCACACGGCCATGGTTCATCCACCAGACTGAGGTTCCTGTCTCCTTAGAAATCAAGGATACAGAGGTACAACCTATAGAACAGATCCTGTTCAAGTAAGGTCGTGAACCGTGAGTGCGGAAAAGACCATATAAAGGCTATTGCCGTTTTGTGCAGCGTCGATGTGGGACTAATGTCGCTGCGCTTTGTGTATTTTGCAGCTCACAACTATCTGCCAAGGTTTTGCCTTCAATTCAACCACATTGAAGCCAACTACTGTAAAAAGTAAAGAATTCCAATTCAGAAAGAGTATACCTTTATTAATAGGTGGCTCGAAGCTGTATGAACGTCTAATTGGCTAAAAAGCAACCCTGCCAACAAAATCAAAGAACTTTTTGTTTTTGCTCACAAAATCAAAGAGTTTAAACAAAATTGAAAGAGGCCTAAGCCGTATGGGTCACCGTGTAGTTGTACAGCTTGTAGGGTTGCGTAGGATTTTGATTTTCACATTTGTACGGTTAAAACATATCAATTGCAATGAGTGAACAAGGAGGAGCACTCACAAGGTAGATACAAATATTGTCCGTAATTATTACCCTTTGATAAATATGTATTTAGTTGGAATTAGTGGAACTGACTTCTCTGCGTTTACTAACACATATGGAATTAAAAAAATTATATATGTGAGTACGTATAGTTGATTCTATCCTCATTCATTCTCTTCCTTATTTATGTCTTCATGGATTCATGACTTTTCCCAAATATCAAAAACTCGTTGAGAACAAATCAGTCCGTTTTGTTTGGTTGATTATTTGCAGGCTTTGCAGATAATTAAACAAAGATGAGGCACATATCTTCTCAAGCCTCAAGGGTTGATTAAAAATTACAAACCAAAAGTATCTGATACAAAAAAAAAAAAAAAAAAAAAAAAAACATGAACAGCAAGTACACTACATATATATGTGGTGTGAGTTCATATGAGTTTCGATTATTTGGTATCAAACTTGTCATTTAAGGAAGTCAAATCTAAGACCTCTTATGTATTTAAGATTGCGAAAAAAGATTACTAGATGTTAGTACTAATCGCGAAAACGAGCATAATGAGATGCATGTGGGCTTAAGACGTATTCACTTGGGTGTGAGTCTTAAGATATGTGTTTTTGTTGCACGCTAGCACAAAAGCTTGCTTGCTTGCTAGCTTCAGGATCTGCGTATGGAAAAGTGCTTGCCCTTACTAAAGGTCCAGTTTATTTCTGAGAACATTGAACCATAAAACACAGAGGTTAACTATTAAGTACTATTGAGAAGCAACTTAATGGTGCACCGGATGACTGAGTAGGAGGTCTTATTATCATAAAAAACTGTCTCAAGGGTAGCATAACCCCTTGCATATCTGAATGATGCAGTGCCTGAAACCACTGAGACCTCTTTAACCCTCTCAAACTGGCGGCTGGTGCCTTGTAGCTCAAGGCTGCTGCCATCGTACTGCCCATTGGTGAATGCAAGTGACATTGACACATGCACATTGGAGCCAGACAAGGACGAGGCCACTAGAATGCCTTGAGCTCGACCGACTTGGGTCGATCTCTTATCGGGAGTTTCGGTGATGGGATCATCAATGGCGAAAATGGTGCCGAATGAGGTGAAAGACTGAGGCTTGCCTTGGATGCCTGTGATAGGGACAACAGTGGCATTGGGTCCTGACGCCAAGTCTTGCAAGTAAAACACTGTGGTGGTTTCTCTAGGACTTTGAGCTTTGGCAAGAGATATGAGCATGGCTTGAAACAATGTTGACAAAACCGACATGAGTTTGGAGGGTCTTGAAAGGGAACTTAATGCCATTAGTGAAAATAACAACAAAGAGCAGCAGAAGAATTTGAGTGAATATTGGAATTTTTTTTTGCAACTGGGTTTGTTCATGGAATGGTTCCAATTTATGGAGAGATGGAGACGGTTAAAGTTGTCAATTTTCTGCTAGAAAACAGACGTTACGTAAGATATAAACACAAGATTCTTGTTATTTTGGGACGTTTAAAAAGTAGTGACGGTCTGATGGGTATCTCGTGTGAGACTACTGAACTTAGAGCATGCCAGACTGCCAGTGGAGGTTCAAATTTAAGTTCAAAATTCAAGCATAGAGAAGAACAAAATCATACATGTACATATACGTGAATCCAAGAAAATGCAATGCAACAACACATATAGGTCTTGTTTAATGTCTAGGATTAGCTTGGATTGAATAAACTTTAATTAAATGCACGTTGAGCAAAAACGTGGATGTCAACTTGCATATACATACATACATACATAGATACATAGATACATATATATATAGTTTATCCAATTATTTTTCGTCATGGAAATTATCTTCTACCTTCAATTAGGGTTTGAGCGGTCATATCACAAATCGATTAAAATCGAAAGGAAGGCACATATAAGCATTATATATTATATATCATTTCAACTTTCATAACCTACATAAGTAAAAATAAACACCTCTCTGTCACTCTTTCATGGATATTGGATATGCCGGTTTGAAGAAAGTTCCTAAATGATAAACACATATAAACAGAGAAGCAAATATTGCATTTTTCTGAACCAAACCAAATTTGGTACTATGTAATTAATTTTTACTCTCACTCATCATCGCTTCTTATGTTTCTTTGCTTCTCACTTTAATTAGCAAACAGCATCGTTGTCTCTATGGTATCAACCGTATCATGGGTTGACACACTAGTACAAAAACCAATTTGCGCGACAGAGCAAATTTTATCGCGCAAAGTGTGTTTGCGCGACACTAAACACAAAACGTCACACAAACGGCTTTTGTGCAAAGGAACTTTGCGTGACGAAGGCTGGCGTCGCGCAAGATTTTGGCACCAAATGAAGGAGCTTTACTGCTTTTTTCCCAACTTTGCGTGACGCAGGTGGGCAATCGTCGCGCAAAACAGCTTTGTGCAACGTAGTTTCATCTCCGTCACACAAAACAGCTTTGCGCGACGAAGGCTGGCGTTGCGCAAAGCTATTTTGCACGACAACTGCCCATCTGCGTCGCACAAAGTGAAACCAGAAATTATTGTCCTTCTGTCATTTATTCTAACACAAGTCAAAAGCCAGAACAAAACAGTAAAAAATATAGACATCCCAACCCTCTCCCTCACCTGGACTCCAAAGCCGCCCTGATCACACTCATCACTCCAATTCCAACACTTCACTCAAAACTAAGAAAACCCAATTGCCAGAAGAACCATTTAAACATACCAAAGGTGAGAGCTTTCTTTCCCCCACAATTTTGCTACTGTTCAAATTTTCATTTATTTTTTTATGACTTATTTTTCTTTTGATTTAGCATATCTGTTTGTTTTTTTTAGACAATACTCGAGGAACATGTAGAAATTGACTCAAGAGAAACGTGTAGAAATTGAAAGCTTTGAATTTTATTTTCTGTTGTAAAAATGAATCTTTCCTTGTTGATGGCTTTTAGAATGAAATGGAATTGTAAATCAGATGAAATGCGAAGAGAAATTGATTTTTTTTTTTCACTGAGAGAGTTGTGAATTTTTCGTATTGGTGGTTGCAGATGCAGTGACTGAGTTCATCGAAGGAATTGTCGAAACGTATCCTGGGCTGCAGTACTTGGATGGTTTCCCTCAGGTCCTTTTTGTTTCCTTCTGCTCTGTTCGTCTGGGTTAATTTGTCAATGCCGTAGCTTTTTGTGTAAACTTAATTTATTTGATTTTCGGAATTTCGTAAATGGGGATTGCAGGTTAAGGTTGTGTTGCGTGCTGATGTTTCCGGTGGGACGTATGACAAAGTTGCTGATGTTTCAGGTTCGATACCCAACAATTACTTTTTTATTGATTGCTATGAAAGCCTGCAGTGCATTTGTATACTGTATTAGAAGAGTGTTTTCACTTCAAAATAGAAAAAATTTATATTGGCGTTGGACTTTGTTTACTGGATTAGAATTAGAAGAGTGTTTTCACTTCAAAATATAAATTTTTTATGTTAGCGTCGGACTTTGTTTGATGTATTAGAATTTAGAAGAGTGTTTTCACTTGAAAATAGAAAAAAATTATATTAGCGTCGGGTTGTGTGGCATCGTGGAGTTTATATGCGGAGATTCACCTAGGTGTTATGTGTGCGATTGAATGTGGGGCTTCTTCCATTCAATTGCTAAGAGAATGAGACAATGTAGAGGAATCGATAAAGAGTTAACTTGTTAAATAGTCCAATCAATAGTTCTTTAACTACATTACGTCAAACCTGCCTGGGAAAACCAGATAAAAAAAAGTACATTGCTGAAGTAGATAATCCGAAGTGTATTACTTATCAAATAGTCTAAGCAATAGGTGCGTTGATGACAGTTGAAGTAGATTCTAGTTATTATTAGAATCCATCGACCGAGTGGATGCCAATTATAGACTTAGGAGTTAGAATGAAACGGAATTGTAAACTATGTAACAGAGAGAGGCTTTGTGGGGAATGGAATGCTTTCTGTAATACTTATAATACTGTTTTCGAAAGGCTCCCTTGCGCTAAAACATAACATCACAATCCTTTTTATGGTTTTTTGTAGCAGAATGATTGCATATTTACAGAAGTTGAAGGAGAGATGTGCAAGCTGTAAGGAGGCTGAAAAGGAAATTGTGCAGAATATGAGGAGGTTGATGCTCACTGTATTTTCTTTTCTTTTTTTCATCTCAGGGTTTGGGAACCTATACCTGTGGACTTATTTCGCAACTTGGGTAATGCATATTGCAATTCTGTATGGGAGGGAACGCTTCTACTTCAGAATGAAAAGTAAGAACTCCAATTTTATTTACTATGTAATCATCTAAGTAATGTTCTTTGGTGTATTTAAAGTTGTTTGTACTGCTGTGATTCTAGTTGGATTTGAAACTTTTTTGCAGACTGGATGGTTGGAAGGACATGAGGGCTCCAGTTTTCAAACCAGGCCCCAAGGATGCAGCTCAGCATAAGGAAATATACATTCAAGCAAAGGTAATCCATTAACTTCGATTGCTCAGTTCTAATATAAAAAAATGCGTATAGCTTGAAAGTTGCATGAAGTTTTCGTGAAATTATTGCAGTTAAAACAACCAAAAAGAAAAGAATGGTGAATCTAAAGATCCAATTTTATGGAGAAGTTAAATATGATAGAAAACAGGGATAACTTTATATGTATGCCAGCTTAATGGACATTGGACCGTGGCATAGAAGTTATTTATTTCAAGTCTCTTTGCCATTTGTTTGCCGTTGTATTTACCGTATGAACACATCTTCCTATCATCTTCCAGTTTCCGTTGCGTTTTGAATGTTTCTCCTATTATGCTATTACCGTCGACTGTCTGCTGTAATTACCTATTTGGGGTTGAAAACTGTGCTTGACAGAAACAAATCCATCCTTTTGTCTACTTCTTAGACGAAAACTTGTGATGTAATTACAGACGACGTCAATTGAAGATGGGGGAAGGCAAAGTGCATTAGAAAGAGCGATGGAGATGGGAGCAATTACAGACGAGGAATTGTTCATACTACTTGCGCGACTTGACGGTGGGGTGGTCGCGCAAATAAGTTTGACAATTGGATTTAACATAACATTTTATCGTATCCAGTTGTGCAAATATTTTAAATTGACGATCAATTAGGTTCATGGTATTCATATAGGCTCAAGGAGTGTATCTGTAAAAAGTCATTAAAATTGGCGTTAAAATAACCGTTAAATTGTGATTTTTCGTTTATAACTGTCGAAAAGTTTTGTCTCGTTAATTGATCTTTGGATGTTTTTTTTTTTCAATTTTTGGTGTATGCGATCTCGGAATATATACAAACAAGTTTGAGGTTGGATCGTTGAAATTAGTTTCGTACAATGCGTATCCCATCAAAACGACAGATTCCCTAACACTTAGAATTTATTTATACTATCATTAAGTTTAACATAACATTTTGTGATATCCACTTGTGTACATATTTTAAATTGGCGATCAAATTAGTTCGTTGTATTCATATAGGCTCAAGGAGTGTAGTTGTGAAAAATCATCAAAATCGGAGTTATAATAACCGTTAAATCGTGATTTTTCGTTTATAACTGTCGAAAAGTTTTGTCCCGTTACTTGATCTTTGGATGTTTGTTTTTTTCAATTTTTGGTGTATGCGATCTCGGAATATATACAAACAAGTTTGACGGTTGGATCATTGAAATTAGTTTCGTACAATGCGTATTCCATCAAAACGATAGATTCCCTAACACTTAGAGTTTATTTATACTATCATTAAGTTTAACATAATATTTTGTGGTATCCACTTGCGTAAATATTTTAAATTGATGATCGAATCGGTTCGTTGTATTCATATAGGCTCAAGGAGTGTAGCTGTAAAAAATCATCAAAATCAGAGTTAAAATAACCGTTAAATCGTGATTTTTCGTCCCATTACTTGATCTCTAGATTTTTTTTTTTCTTCATTTTTTGGCATATGCAATCTAGGAATATATATACAAACAAGTGTGATGGTTGGATCGTTGAAATTAGTTTCGTATAATGCGTATCTCATCAAGTTCAAAGGTATATATATATTTATTAAGTAAATTTTCAGTAAAATTTATAATATTAAAAAAATAAAAATTAAAAAATTAGAAAAAAAACCTTGCGCAACGTCACAATATGGTTGTTGCGCAAAAGCACTTTGCGCAACATCAAAATGTATACGTGTGTCGTGCCATTTGTGATAATTTTGGCGGTGCAATAGTAAAAAATAGGCGTGTTTTTTTAAAAAATTTCCCAAGTTTTCGCAAGCCAAAACCCTTCTGCTTTCAAATCTCTCTCACGCCGTCTCTTTCATCCTATCTCTATTCCCAAACCAAACCCAAATCCTTCTCCACTCCAGCCAACTATCCTCCTCAGCCAATTCCACCTGAGTTCCAAAATCACTCTCAGACTCTCAGTCCCTCGACTCCCTTCCCTCGACTCTCCAACTCTCAATTGTCCTCCTCCTCATAGTGCTCACCAGCCATCACCGCCGTCAAGCAACGCAACGGCACCACCCATCATCCTTTTCGACGACATCCCAAAGAACCCAGGCCATCACCCCATCACCCCCGCCGTTGCGACCACCATCACCCCATCACTGTCGTCGAGGACACTGCTACCAACCATCATCCCTCTAAAATTTAGGTAATTTTGATTTAGGGTTTTGTTAATAATGTGAATTTCTGGTGTAGGGATTTTAGGGTTTTTAAATTAGAATTTGTAGATTGATGATTGTTCTGTTGCCACCATTTAGGGTTTTACTAAAATTTGAATTGCATTTGTAGATTGATGATTGATCTGTTGCCACCATTTAGGGTTTTCTTAAAATTTACAATCGGATTGCTGTGTTTCATGTTTTGTTTTATATACTGTTTCTCCAATGCTTTTTTTGTCTTCCCATGTATTAATATCTTCCTATATTGTCATGAATCGGCATTAGGCGATTCCGTTAGCTATTCTTTCTAAATTGCTTGATAAATGCTAATGTAAGGTAAATTTATTTGATACATGCTAAGTTGGACAGGCCAAAGACATATCAGATTTAGGTTCCTTGAAGGAGGCAGCAAAAATCTTCATCCCAGGTACAAGTTACGTGGAGAATGTTCTTTAGAGTTTAGAGTTTATGAATATGACAAAATGTCCAGGATGGAATCTCCCGACGAGAGCATTTGTGCCTGGAATATATGAAGAGGCTTTAAAGTGTTTGCAGCTACAGTTTCTTGTGCTTATTTATTTTCTCTATTTCCTATTTTATCACTGAAAGTTTTTCTGTTAATTCCTCTATGCTCTGTTCTACATAAATTTTACGCAATGAGCTGTCTTGAAAGTGTTTGGCTTGCTTGATTGTTAGGTGGCCTGCATCAATAAACTGACTAAATTGAAGTGGTTCTGTATCAACTATATGTTATAATTTGTAGTTTGAATTATGCAACACTAATTGGATTTTCCAACGTTAAATATGGTAAACCTAAATTGTATAGTTTGGTATCCATTCATGGTGCAGTTGTGCTTGTGAAAGTCTCTGATTCTTTCGATAGGGTTCAATTCAATCACAGAGGAGAGGATCTGTGAATTTCATATTTACTTGTGTTTATTTTGCAGGATTTGGATGCATTCTCAGCTGCAGTGATTGTTAGTATTGCATTTTCATTCATTCCTTCATCATTTGTCGTTCCTATTGTGAAGTTAATGTGACAAAACATACCTTCAGGAATCCACTTCGAATGTGTTTGCTTCATGATTGAGTGATTTACTGTACTATTTAACACTAGTCACTAGGACATGGTTAATTGAAGTTACAGCAATAATTGAAGATGCATTAGTATTTTCTCTACTATATTACTTGACAACTCGATAATTAATTCCATAATGTAGCGGAAGCGGTAAAAAATAATTTAAATTTCTCAAAGAGAAAGCTAGGTACGTAGAGTAGACACTCGAGTGAGGGAAACCAATGAAGATTCTCTTCCTAGACATTGAATTGATAAAAACTGAATGCCTTTTAAACATTCCCTGTTATAATTAATCCTAATAAAAGTTGTAGTAATTACAATTTTACAAAAGCTGGCATGCTGAAATGGCTTTTAAACACTAGCCTTTACAAATTGTTTCAGAAAGTACCAACTTACAGATTCTGCAGCTAAGTTCTAAAATATATCACACTTTGGTATATAGAGAACGCATCACGATTGTGACCAAAATAATCAAGATACACATAAACGGAACATCTGATCCCATTGGTTTAGGTTTACAGTATAGTTGACATCTTTAATTAGTATTGTTTCTACCGTTCCTCTACTGCTTTATATATACATATATATATATATGTGAACAAATGCAAGAAAGGATATGCTATTATTTTGGTTGCTAATTGATTAGTTTTAAATGCAAGAAAGGATTAGTTTCTAATGTTATAATTTTATGGTTCAAAAAGTGTATAGATGTTGCGGTTGATCACTCGTCGTCGGAGTGTGATCAATGCGCCTCTTGCATTATCAGCATCTACTGCTCCAGGCGTGAGTGCTCCATTGATTGGCGTCCCAGGTGTCTGTCTCATTGACGTCGTCAATGTTGGCTCAGCCGCTCAGTGCACGGCGGCCTCACTGGCGCCGCCGCAAGCCTAAGCCTTCTAATCACACTTCCTCGACATCCAGAGTCGAGGGTGAGGCCTCCCAGCTAGGTATTTTTTTCTAATTCTCACTACGTTGTATTTTTTTTTTTTTTCATTTTAAAACTATTATTTTTATGATAGTGAAAATTTGCTGAATTGTGAAAATTTGTTGGATTGCGAAAAGGTGTTGCCGGTTGTGAATTACTGTTTTAAGGTTTTGGGAAATGCTATACTAGTAGGGGAGGTTGTGTTGAATTTCTTGTACAAATTTAAACTTAGGGTTTTCACCATTTAAGTATTTTTGGCCAGCTAAAAAAAACACCAGGGGGCCTAGTCGAATGCTGAAGCAGGCACAGGGTGTATGTCAGGCCGCCTCCAAGATCAAGATTGCGTATGACTCGCGACATCTTGGAGCAGCTACCTCACAGCAGTATAGCAACGTCGTTAGTAGCTATGGTGGTGTTATTCGACAAAATTGTCCTTTTCAGTGGGAGTATTGGGCAGAAATTCTCGAGCAGACGAAGGAACTGGTGCGACACAAGTTGTCGGTTAGTATATTAATTTTTAGCCTTTATCATTTTTTTTAATTTTGTTTACAAATATTAAAAACCAAAATATATTATCTTAATATTATTAAATTTCTTACTATTATTTTATTATTTTTCATATTCGTAGGTCATTTATGATCTTGAGGACATATCCCCCTAGGCCATGGCCTACTTAGAGTTGACCTTAGCAACCCTGTACAAACAATGGAAGAACAATTTTCACACGTATTTTAAGCTATGGGATGATCCGAAGATTGCTCGCCTACACATTCCAATCGAGTTGAAGGACCGGTCGGCGGATTGGGAGTGGCTCTGCAAGCATTTTACGGATCCAAAATTTGTGGTATGTACATAATATTTTAATAATAATTTATTATTGTTTTAGTTATTTTTTAAAGCTCTTTTTATTAATTTATTTCAAATAGTTGCATTAACATGTATATTGTGTGTTTAACAGAAGAAATCTATTGTTGGCAAGATAGCTTGTGAGTCAAAGAAACTTCTCCACCATTTCAGTTCGATGCCCTTTTAGTATAGGCTTGAGGCACGACATCAGGTAAAAGTTTATTAACTTTGAAATTTTATACAATTTAATTATTATTATTGATTAATAAAATTTTCTTAATGTTTTTTTCTTCAGAAGGATTGTAAGTTCCTAGATATCGACATGTTCGAGGACATTTACTTTCAACCTGGTGATGAGACCACTAAGTAGCTTCATGTAAGTATATGTAATTCTTATTATTCTTATATGTATGAATCGTTCAAATATTATTTATTATTTGTTATTAAACATTATATGTTTTTTCTTTATTATTATAGGTTGCTATGGTGGAAAAGGGCACTTCTGTTCTCCAAGAAGCAACATCGTAGCTTCCCCCGGAGACCCCGATCGAGGACGTTATGGTACTCGAGGATGCAGGTTTTCAGATGATGACTGATTTCCTGGATCAAAACTTCGGTCGTCGTCATGGCAAGGTTGTTTAGTGTATGGGGAAATCGCAGGTTGGTGAGACGGGTGCTTCTTCTTCTAGATCAAACATAGTAGAGGTCGATGTATTGAATGAGGAAGTGACAACCCTAAAAGGTCAAATTTCAGCCCAAGACGAGGAGATGAAGACCTATGTCGGGACGGTGAGAGACCTTGTATGAGCTGTACAGATGCCAGGCCTCCAAATCTCGCTACCAGCACTTAATCTTGCTCCACCTTCGACCTAAGAGCCACCTCGCCCTACCGATACCTAGTAGCCTGATGTATCAAACTTAGAAGACTATTTCTAGTTTTTTCTTTTTGTTTAAACATCTTGTATGTACATTTTCATATATTTTATAATAAAATACTTTTGCTTGGTTAATTCATTATTGTTTAGAATTTAAATACAATATTTTGTTAAAAATTAAAAAAAATATTTTTGATCAAAACAAAACAAAAGGGTTTGTGCGACGCAGGCCTACATCGCGCAAATCCACTTTGCGCAACGCATGTCATACGTCGTGCAAAGCTACTAAGCTACTAAGCCACTTTGCGCAATGCACGCCCACGTCACACAACGCAGGTCCCTACATCGCGCAAAGTAGCTTTGCGCGACGCATGCAAAGCACTTTGAGCGACGTAGGATGCGTCGCGCAAAGCTGCCTTGCGCAACGTAGGGTGCGTCGTGCAAAGCTTTGTGCGACGTATGCTTCTTCTTCGTCGCACAAACCCTACCGTCACTGCCTTGGTGCAACGATTAGTGCACTACAAAGGTTTCGTTGAGCTATTTTTTAGGCAACGATTTTTCACTTTGCGTGACAAAGGTACCTACGTTGCGTAAAGTGTTTTTCCTGCTGGTGACAGAGAGTTGTGTCACAAGTGATGTGTGCCAAATAGAAAATAGGACCAAGAGTTTTAAGAGAAGATTACTAAAAGAACAAAGGCTACTACAAAATTTACTAACCGAGGGTGTTTTAGTACTTTTACATCAAGTCTTTGTTAGAAAAAGAATAGGTTGGCTAAGTTTTTATACAAAGAGAAAATTTTGGCCAGTTTTTCAAGTTTCTTACGGAAAATCAGGTGAGGTCTAGAACACGAATAGATTATTCAGGCAAAAAAAAAGGGGAATTTGACTTAGGTAATGAAATTATAAATTTTAATTGCTAAAGTGGTCACTTTTAGGGATTTTGTCGATATGTTGCTAATATTCAATTGGAAAATTACTCAATACGTGATTGATATATGGTCGTTTGAGCATATCCAACATTAGTGCTTATACTTATGTTGTTTATCCACACCTTCCGATAATACTAGTTATTTTTTACTTAACTTTTAAAGTTCGGGAGATCTTATTTGTACTTCAAGAAAGATATTTTTGCACGCATCATAAATATATTTTTCTTTCTATGTATTGAAAGTATGGTGTGTGGAATGACTTTTTTTAGAATGTCAATAGCAGCATCCTAAATTGTTATTATTGTTTTACACAAACAACCCAAGGGGTTGGCCACAATATAAGCACCACATCTATTCTACTCACCCAACCGAGCTCGATAGCTAGTTGGCACACCTGTTGTCACAAGAAGGACATAGTTAGCTCATTATTACTGGCCTACGCCCCACACATGCACTGTAATTTCTAGGGCCAACAAAAACACAAGAATCTAGCGTATCATATCATTCATCTATGATAAGCTGTGTTCTGAGGTGACAACATCCACGTTCAGATGAGTGCGACCAAGAGGAGACGAAGAGGAGACAACTAGCAAGAGCGAGAGTACAAGATAGTCTTCAAGTTTAGTAAGTCATCTCTAGTCCAGGTATGATTTATCTCCATTTTTTCCTTGGTGAATTATTTATCTTGAATGTATGCTCGAGGATTTTTTTCCATGTGTTAGGCTTTTACCTCGTTAAATAAATTTCTATTCACTCGTTTATTTATTTTATTTTTTTTGTTAATTTTCAAGTGGTGGATAGGATTTCTGCCCTTGGTTGCTCTGTTCATTTATTGGGTTACTTGATGGCCCTATTAGACTCAATGCCCAATTAATAGAAAAATGTTTCAGCAGACCGCTTGACCCCTCAACATATCACCCCACTCCCCTCAGGGATGGAGCGGTGGACTACCCCCTGCACACTAGAGCCCATAGGGCATGCGAGTAAGAGGGGAGGGTTCCCAAGAATTTCTAGATAAGGTCCAACACTTCCTCCATGACTACACGATAAAGACTAATTCTTTCTTGAAGAGTCCAAGATAAAGTAAGAGATCTCCAGATGTTTCACGCTACGCATCTACCCAAATAGTATTCCTCTATCAACAGAGGAGATGACACCACTTGTCATTTTGCAACGCAGACGATTGTTGGCCATCACCTTTATATATAGCCCAAGTCATTTATTAAATTGAGAATTTAGAACTCTCTATAAACTTTTCGGTTTATTTGGAAATATTTTTAACTAGGGGTCGAAGGCCCTTCGGCTATCACCAGACCGGTGTTAGACAGTTGACCTTGGTGTTTGGTGTCATCTTTCTTGGAAGCTTTCGGTCAATCCGCTAACAGTGGAATTAATAGGGTCCAAAATCTTGAAAGTAAAACACTATGGTGGTTTCTCCAGGACTTTGAACCCTTGGCTACCATGGTGAGCATTAATGTTGACGAAAATGACATGAGTTTGGAGGGTCTTGAAAATAGAGTAGGATTCCCTTCCCTCCTATTCTTATTCCCTTCTCTCCCTTCCTCTCGTACTTTGCTTTGTATCTTATTGTCTTCATAAAAAATCAATATAAAATGTTGATGTAGCTTAACCGTAACCGTTCAAGTAGAAGGAGAGAGAAGGGGAGAGATTAGGAGGGGAGAAAATCTTCCTCCCTTGAAAATAGGCTTAATTACTGACATTAGTGAACAAGAACAAATTAAGCAGAATGAATAATATTTTTGTTTATAATACCAGGTTTGTGCATGCAATGGTTTTAATATATAAATGAGAAAGAGACGGTTAAAGTTGGCATATGTTCTGCAGGAAAACCAACGGTACGTAAGATTTGAACACAAGAGCCATGTTGCTATTTTGGGATGTTACAAAGTAGTGCTGGGTGTATCATGTGAGAGCATGTCAGTGGAAATTCACGTTTAGGATCAACTTTCAAACAAATATAAAGGTAAAGCAGAGAAAAAAACAAATATCATAACTGTAGAATATCTGAGGCATGTGGATCCAAGAACATGCAACGCAAGACATATAGATCTCGTTTAGTGTTTAGGATAGGTTTGGATCAGATACTTCCCTCAGTTCAGTGCATTTTGAGTGAAAATGCAGATGTCAATTTGCATAGTTTGTCTAATTAATTTTCTACAAAAAAATTTATCTTCTAGCTTCAATTAAGGGTGCCAATCGATTAAAATGAAACAGAAGGCACACAAACATTAGATTACGTATTAGCCAATTTTCCATCAACATTTTACACTAGGGATCAGATAATTCCCTTAGTCCAGTGCATGTTTAGTGAAAACTTGATGTCAATTTGCATAGTTTGTCTAATTAGTTATCTTCACTAAAACGTACCTTCTAAGCTCAATTATTAGGGGTTCAAGCGGTCATATCTCAAATCGATTAAAATAGAACAAAAGATCACACACCTTAGATTATATATTAGCCAATTTTTCGACAACATTTTAAACTAATATGAAGAACAATACTACCAATTACAGATATTGAGTACACAGAAATTACATCATATTATTAATTAATCCTCCAATTGACCATTGTCTACTTGGGGGTCTTGAACTTTGTCTTTCTCCTGACCTATTACATTCCACATGTTGTCAAATGCATCTTTTGCTGCTCTATTTTGTGCAACTTCCTTCTTGAGACTGTAAGTGCCTCTTCCAACAATTTGATCGTTTATAAAAACCTCAACCGTGTGTTTCTCCTCCCACAGATCGACAAATCGGAGTTTCAGATTGTTTTTTTGACACACTTCATGAAGTTGTGACACCGGATGCTTCTTTATCGTCTTCGGATCTATTATAGGCTCCAACAAATTCTTGAACACCTAAATTTCGTAACGAAAAACAGTACTAGTCACACTATTGAAACAAATATGTGCAAACATAATAATGAGCGACATGAAATTACATTACCTTCCACACAATGTCAATTGACTTGCAGTCCATGAAAACTGCACCGATTGTGGACTCAACTATGTCCGCAAGGTTCTTTGGAGCATCAATGAGACCATTGGAATGCAGTGGATAGTCAGAAATTGCTCGCATAAATTTTCGAATCTGTGTACATTTTCAACAGAACTTTTGATCATAACAAATTCAAACAGTTATTTTCTTTTTACCTTCTGAAAGAAAACTCCTTTA